AATCATAACAGCCAGCTTCATCTGTTACTAGCATTCTTAATCCTATGTGCCTGACTCATTGGCTTTATAAAATATCTCTTCCAAACTTGTGTGCCTAATTCGTTCAGAGATCATTGGTTGTGCTATAGACTACCACAGCTCCCACAGAAGGAAGAATGTTCTGGTTGGTGACCAGGCACCAAGAGACTTTCATTATTGAGCATGTTCATCACGGTAAGCTTTGTTTTTATTGGATAGAATTCATGTAAATCCCACAGATCCGTGCACGATTCCCAGATGTTGCTCAAATCTCAAGGTGGTGCACATCTCTATCATACTGCTCTTCCTTAAGGGTCAAAAGCTGAGCATTTTGCAGCTGACTCACGTTGTATTTGTACTTTTTCGAAATCGAACGAGCACAGTCATCGCGCCACAACGGTTCTGAACAGTGGTTTATAACTTGCGCTTGAAAGATAGGCTGAGAGTATTTAGTTGCATATCGCGTTGTTATCTTTACAAAAAAAAAAAAAAAAAAAAAGAAGTCCTGCGCGCTCTTCTCCAGTCTACATTAATCCGCAGCATGTACTTGCTTGACGTGCGCAATGAAAAAAAAAAAAAAAAAAAAAAAAAAAAAAAGATATCGTGAATCGTGAATATCACGTTCTGATTCAATGTTGTCTTGCGATCGGTGTCCGTGCTTTTTTTTTTTTTTTTTTTTTTTTTTTCTTGCTGAGGATGCTTTGTGTGTGGTAATGGGTAATGGTGATAAATAACCTTGTGATTGGCAGTAATTCCCTCTCATTGGCTTGACATGTGACTTCAATACCATTCTGCCGCCAAAGGGATCAGCTGGCTCATTTTGCAATTTTGTGATGTGCGCAGGGATGAGACCGTTTTTAGCATAATTGTGTTGGGGGTAAATCCCAATCCTTATCAGCAGCCTTGTCGAAAGTCCCACCCCTAATCTTTGACTTCAACCTGTGGCAACTTTTTTTTGTTTTTTTTTGGACGGTTAAATGTTGTGCGATGAGAGACAAAAAAATATGGGTGAATGTTTGTCGTACACTCTGGATGTGCTTATAATCTTATGCATTTCACGAAATGCCTAGCCAATGCATCCTGCGCGGTATCATCATCACACAACCACGAAATACTCCCAACAATGCATTAAATCTCCTTTTTTTCCTCCGTTTCAATAGTGAGCATTCAAGTACAATTTCATCTTTCTTATCCTTTGAGTGAAGCCAATAAATACACTGAAGGATAACAGAGTAGACAAACTAACAAACAAAAGCATCTGTCTATAATCACACAAATATAATATTTGTACCAGTCAAACCATTTAGTTTACAGACATTCCGAGGAAACAAGTTCATGTATTTCGTAAGTAGAATAAACAGCTTACCCAACTACACAGCATCAGTGGAGTCCCCCTCATTAACGATAACAATAGCTTTTAAAAGTGTGTGATGACGAGATGAAGGAATGCATGGGCACTGAGCTTACGCGCATGTCTGTGAAAAAAAAAGGGATAGGGGCCAGTAAGATCTTACCAAGGTAATTCAACATGCTTATTTGAAGAAAAAACCGCTGTTCAGTAGCATGATAGGAGCAGGTGGTCTGTTCGCCTTCTTCCTTTTGGAAAACTCAATTGCCTTTTTTTTTTTTTTTTTTTTTAAAAAAAAAAAAACATCAGGGCAAGGGTTTGATCACCGTATTCAACCGTATTCAATCAATGCACACGCTTTCCTGCGCGAACTGTCATTCAAACATAAAACCAAACCGAAATTGACGTATTTTTTTTTTCCCGATTCTTCTTTACCCTGTTGGCATATGATAAAGAGGAGGAGAAGGAAGAGGAAGAGAAGAATGCCCAGGCCAATTGTTTCCTTCTATCTGTCCTGCCTGGTCTTGGCACACAATTTATTGATACTTCGGGATGGAATCATTAGCGTGCATGCAATCAATGTCTATCGTATATAAATATATAATATATTAAGTGAGAATAATGTCGGGAAAGGTGTACGACCACAGACCAGAAAACCAGACGATCGGAGACCGTTCTTCTTTGTTTATTTATTGAAAGTTCTGGGAAAAAAAAATTATTTAAAGTAATATTATCAATATTCATGACATTCTTGTAATATGGAGACTGATCATATTAAAGAGGTTAATTTTGATATAAAAATAAATAAAAAAAAACACCATGGCGGCTCCATCCTTTCTTTCAAATCTCGACGGCACAGACAAACCTCGATTATCATTAAAGGAAAACTGGTAAATATATACATGTACATGTACATGTTCGTGTACAAATGAGCAATTGTTCGTTTGGTACACAATAGACACGGGGAGAAGGCGAGCAGGAGCCAAAGGACAGGGTGTAGAGGATCTGAGAATGCTCTCATTCATACATCCATGTTCTTCTCATTCTTACATCATCAATGTTCGTCTTCGACGGCCACGGTACATGTACTTGGCATCGATACACACAGATCTTTTGGTGCGCATAAAGGCGTTTTGCTATAATCTGTCTATTGTGTTTCAATTGATGTTTATTTTAAATAACAATTGGTTTGTATGCAACTGGACCGAACTACTCCATATTAACGGCTACAATAAAGCACGCTCATCTATTTAACATTCGTCCACAATAGTAAATATGTACGATGGTCCGATTCAAGTTTGTGTTTTTGCCTGATGAATACATCAATCAATCGATGTTTAGTAATAGTGACTTGTCGAGAAGGGCACGCTTTTCAATTTTTTTGAATACAAACCCTTATTCAAATATCACAGAACGACATCAATAGCAAAAGCACCCCGCCTCCTGTTGGCCAGTGGCATCTCTCTTTTTTTTTTTTTTTTTTTTTTTCTGCATCTGTTCGTCTCCTTTTTCTGTTTGCGTTTTAGAGACACAATGCACAACAAGCGTAAAAAGATGCCTCTCTTAGTTGCAGCACTTGCACTGTTTGATCTTTCCTGTTCGGTATATACCATTGATAGGAGGCAACGATGAACATCTTTGGACCGAGTTTGACAAAATGGCGAGGAGGATCAAAATCAACACTGTCAACATCTGCAAAAGTAACAACATCAATACCAAGGACAAACAAATAAATGAAAGAGAGGATGCACAAGAACCATCGGGCAGGAACAGGGTACGGATCATGATTCAGTTCAGCCCACGTTGTGTAGACATGGTTTTCATGAATGTTACATTTTTTTGAATTGGGGGGTATAAATGCACTGTATTACATGTACTTGGGATAAAATATATATTTTTGGTTTTGAGTTGCTATTGTTGGTGAGCGTGTGTTGGCGGTCTCAAAAAGCATATGATTTGCACTTTGGATTATCACAATGAAATCCAACACACATGCGCACGACTATTACACAGCCTGAATAATTCACTGTTAGTCCCATCATAGAAGAAGAACCACCCGATTGTGGTGATGGTGATGGTGATGGCGATGATAGTTTCCAAACGCTCGTGTTCCATGCTTGTTGCCTTTTTTTTTTTTTTTTTTTTTTTTTTTTTGACATTGCAACCACAACCAACCAACCACAGACAAAAAGAGATCAGGCCATGCAAGGCATTTCATGTATTTGTTAAAATGACAGTAATCAATTACCGCTGTATTCAATGGCTTTTACTCCCACTTAGTTCAGTCGTACAAATAATATAAATATACAATCAATAATCACATTTTCAATTCAAAAGTCTATCGAGGAGAAAAGGCGTCTGTCCACCAAGGGTTTTTTAAAAAAGAGGTGTAATATGCTCTTTTCTTTCCCCTTCTTTTTCTTTTATTTTCTTTTTCTCTTCTTCCTCTTCTTCTTTATTTACACTTTTTCTTCTCTCAAACCTCCTTCATTCTTCATTCCTTTTCACTCAACACATTTCTGATCATTCTATTCCAATCATCCCATCTACCCAATGGCATATAGCGCCCTGTGAAATCGAAAAAAATTCACATTTCTTATCAAACTTATCACTCCGCTCAGTCTTTTCTTTCCTTTCCCTTGGGGCTTCTCTCAATCCTTCCTGGCCACCATGTCCTCTCACAAGCGTTCTTTTCACTACCCGCAACTTCACCAGGACGACAGGCCCTGGCTCAAATATCCTGGTCCAGAAAAATCCTCCAACAGCCACAGTCGATCCTTTTCGCCCGTGCACAAGCATTCCGGCGCGTCTGATCTTCTGCCCAGGGCCCCTCATACTACAAGTTCTCATCAATATCACTCATCACGTAATGAAACATTGCCACTGCACAATAAGCGCTCTTCCTCAAGGTTAAACAGCAGTAACAGCAGTAATGCGTCTTTACCCATGTCTCTTGCCACCAGTAACAGCAGCAACGATTCTTTGGGTGGTCATCATCATCATCATCATCATCATCCACATAGCACTCTAGCCCTCTTAGACAGCCTAGCAAAGCAAGGAACCTCTCTGACGAGCTCTCATTTCCACTTCAAGACGATAATCAAGATAGCAACACTCCTATCGATACTAACATTAAAAGCAGTGTCCGCAAAGCAACAGCATATCCCTCTCCTATTACACCTTCGGATCTGTTGGGAATCCCTGATTTATCTTCTGTATCCTCTACCACATCTTCCTCCACACCTGAATCACCACTATCTACTTCGGCACCTTCTACAACAGAATCTCCTACGCCAAAATCAGACTCGACTGGTCAAAAACAGCGACCCTCCCTCTCTCCATCAACACTCAATTGCCAACACTGGCAGCAATACCTTCGATGGTTCTTTTACTTTGGTCCAACGCAAAGCCCAGGGTCTGGGCGCGGTTCCACAACAACGTCTGAAGGCCCTGGCTCTCCACGTGTTAATCTGGCTGCTACATCAGGTCCACGAACACCAAAACTTACGCATATTCATCTCATTCGTCAACTGCCTCCAATTCGTCCTATTCTAACGTATCATCTCCTAGCTCCACCCCACTCTTGCTCAGTCTTTTGTCACCATCATTCCAAGGGGCATCACCCGCACGACACTATCACCATCATTCATCCTGCCATCCAATCAAGAGCGACATCATCGCCGTCACCATCATCCTTCCTGTTATCATCATAAACCGGGTCGTCACCATAGCTCCAGATCTGATAGGACTCTTGCAAAGATCTCTAGACGCTATGGTGCCCCTCAATTTGTACCTGACCATGACGATGAAGACTTGTCCCGTTTTGAACGTTGAGGAGAATGATGCTCAGCTTCAGCTCGAAAACTCTGCGCCCTTGGAGCTGGAAGGCCCATCCTAACGATACCTCTACTGCAGTGACTATTGTTGGAAGTACTCCAGCCTTTGGTATTGGTGCATTCAGAGCGCAGGATAATCAAACCAATGAGGATGACGCCCTATATGCAGCCGAGCCTCCAAAGAAGCGACAGCGATCAGCGGCAGCAGTTATCTTGGGCGCTGCAGTTGAGACAGTAATCTTTACAAGTGCTGTAGCTCTTTCAGCATATCAGTTACTCACGGGTAAGGGCAGGCAACAACTTGATGCGACCATGTCTTCTCCCACAGCAGAGTCGGCCAAGGCCACGCCAGCAGCGCCTCAAGGCAATGGCGAGCCAGTCTTTGAGAAGTCTGTAGTTGTAAGTATTTGGATTTTTTTTTTTTTTTTTTTTTTTTTTTTCCCTCTTGGATAATTTCCCGCAATGCATGGGGCCAAACATGTGTCATTTTTAGATTCTAAATGTATGCACAATTGTTTTGTTTCTGCAACATGCATTCGTAAACGATAGCAAATGAAGTCCGCACCTGTCGATATCCCGACAAGAACAATTCAACGCCGAGATTCCTCTTCTGGTGTGCTTGGAAAATCTCTTCACCACAACACACATCGTCATAAATCAAGGAATTACAAGCATTCATCCTATAAATCCCCTCGTGGCCATGGGCTGTCGATATCGCTTCCTCACGCGTATGACAATGATTATCTTTCCAAGGACTCATTACCCATGCCTGAGAGGCCAAAACAGGCACAGAAGACAACGACGAGCAATTTCTCAGGATGGAAGCCAAACTGACGACTCTGATCGCAGAAGGCAAACGTGCACTGAATCGTCGTATCTCTGACTGGGCTGATGCATAGATTTGATGCATGAATTTGATGCAAAATATTCATGAATACCTTTTTTTTCAAAAAAAAAAAAAAAAAAAAAAAAAAAAAAATAAATTGTAAATGTGTATTATATTTAATAAAGATAAAAAAAAAAGTAAATAAATCTTTATCGATTGTCTATTTCATTTTCTCTTACACATTCTTTTCTAATGCTATTTCGTCCTATTATTCCCTTCTGCTGTTCTTGTCCAAGTTGTCAACATTATAAACTAAAACATGCGTTTATGTAATTTGACGGGTGAAGACAAGTGAGTCAGGGGGGTGGAATGTGAGTGACGCCTAATCCTAAGACAAGCATTACAAGAAACCACAGACGTACACTTGATCCAAGTGACACCCCAAGCAGTAGGTCATTGATCACTGCGCCCTCTTTCTTTCCCTTTCCCCTTTTCTTTTTGTGTTTCTCTTATCCATCTTAAAACCCAGCCCTCCATCATATATATTTTGGCGGCAACATATCATAAGATAGTAAAACGAAGTTGTTGATGTCATATTCTTGCATCCGCGGCATTTTCCAGAGTCATTTCTTTTTTTTTTTTTTTTACTACGCCTTTCATAGTCCTTTTTCACATGCTGTTGTTGTGTTTATTGTTATTGTTGTTGTTGTTGCTGCCAAGAACATTTGAGCAGATGACTGATACAAAACCAGTAGTCTAGAGAGCCTAGGAATTACAGGATACGTATGTATATTTTTTGAACATATTGCTTTGCTATGCGCGTCATTTAATTATAAGCAGTCACGGGACATGATGGTGGCGCAGCGGACCACATCCCTTACTTTCTCGCTTCATGTAAAAACACTAACCTACTCATTTCGCAGGACCAAGAAAAAAGAAGATTACACTATACAACGAACAAGACTATAGTATTATTATATAAAGTACGATTTGAGAGCTTGGGATGGACATTGCATGTCTAGACAACACAGCAACCAAAAAATAAGAAAGAGATCAACATGACAGAGTTGTGTGTGGTTCTTTTATTTTTATTAACCGGAATATCAATGTGCTTTTGCTTTTATTTTCGCTTCTCCTTCTTAATAGAAAGTCGAAACATCACCCAGATCTGATTATGTGCAGGAAGCAGACAGGCATTGGTAATCAGCAAGAGCATAGTTATAACCACCAACAGGCGTTACATGCAACATTTAATGTTTTGTTTCTTAACAGGAAATATATCTTGTACTGGCAGCACATATGAATGTTTACTAACTTTTCTTTTTTTTTTTTTTTCCTTCGTAACATCGAGGATAGCTATCGGACGTGTGTGCGAGAAATGCGATGGTCGATGTGTTATTTGTGATTCGTAAGTTTGAGGTTTAAATAAACAACAGCAACATCTTACCAGCTCGCTTTTTTTTTTTTTTGCTCTATTTGATCTCTACTGATCGTCTTATTTTATTATTATTTTTAATTGTTATTATTTAAAGATATGTTCGTCCAGTAACGCTTGTCAGGGTCTGTGATGAATGCAATTATGGATCTTTTCAGGGACGTTGTGTAGTCTGTGGATCGCCAGGAGTTAGTGACGCATATTATTGCGCTAATTGTACGCGAGCTGAAAAGGACGTAAGTATATATTGAAGGACTATTATTTATTTATTTATTTATTTATTTATCTATTCATTTTTTTTTTTAAAAAAAAGGGGGAGGTATTCTAACATATTCTCTTTAACCTGCTATCTGTTTATATATTAAAGAGAGATGGCTGTCCAAAGATTGTTAACTTGGGATCCTCAAAAACAGATCTGTTTTATGACGGAAAAAGTTTGGTTTTAAGAAACGATAAAGGAGCATTTCACTTGATGAATGCGCCGCTACCGCAAGGCAACGTCTTTTATTCTGCAGCCTGATAGATGTATAGTACTATAAAAAGAAAAATAAAAAATAAAAAAAGATAAAAGATATTGGACGATCGATTATACCTCACATGGATTGCCAGTGCTCGACAAAATTTCAAGGATTTGATCTGTAAGCCATCTGGACAGAACAGGTTGAGAAGATGAGGCGTTGGCAGGAGAGAAGAGTACATATGACGAAATTCGTCGTATCATCTCCCTACAGTCATCTAACACGTTGAGGAGGAAGGAAGCGTCGGTCCATCAATATGCCGTTATCTTGCTAAAAATCTTGAGATTCCGCATGCAATTGGCGCAATACCAACAAACCTCACCTTTTAACCTCTGTATTTTATCTGTTAAACACGATTTGTGCCTTATGCTCAAACAGTTTTCACAGCTACATTTCTGAACAATGTATGCTTGCGAAATTATGCTGGCCATCTCGACAGGCCGAATGCATTGTTCTTCGAGCTGATATTGTTGATGACGTACTTTTAATCTATCGCGCGCATTTAGCGCCCTTGCCTTTCTTTTAGCGCCCGATTTCAAAGAGATCCCGCGGTTCTGTAGCCCTACCGTCAAGCATTGTTCTTTGGACCCTGCCTTTAGTTGATTTATGCATTCGAGTGTCCTGACCAAGTTTCGGAGTATTACCCGAAGTAGGATGCTTATGTAACATAAATTTAGTAGATTCAAATGGATGTCGGTGGGCGTTATGGGACAGTTCGCAGCGAGGATTATCTTTATCGCCTCCTTTTCCCCCAGTTGGTCCGGAACCTTTGATCGTGAGGATGGCTTCTGTAGTAGGTATTGGCTCCATGATGATTCCAAAGCGCCAAGAACCTGTTCGAACTGGTGAAAGGTTAACAGGGATGCCGAAAGATGCTCTAAAATATGTGAAAATAGTATCGAAATTGCTTCATTAAAGTGGCAAGTACATGTAATTTAATAACTGTAACACAGTTTTGTCAGCTTTTTTATCTTGCTAATAACCTCTTGCAACCACCATGCTGTGCTCACACGTTTGTTGCACGACACTCGAATTATAAGTCGGACATGGGGATAAGAAGATTTGTATCACCTCTTCAATCAGCTGTATCATTCCTGTGGTCATTGTCGTGTTCCAAATAGATGCCTCTACACGAAAGCCATCTTGCACCTTATCTCTATCAGCAGACTCTAAAAAGAATCGGCTACGCCGAAGTGATTCCATACATTTGAAGATTCTAGCTTGACTTTGTGGGAAAGCTGCTGTACGGTCTAGAAAGAACGTGGATCGTCTTAAAACCGTAAATATAAGTGATCTCTGATACACACTTTTTTTTTTTTTTTTTTTTTTTTTTCGATTTCCATTGAAAATAGTGAGGGTGTTACCAATTATACTGTCTGAGATGTTTAATGATTCATTGACGGGGGCAGTCGAGACATCAGGTGGTTGATCCTGTATTTTCCGCTTTTTTGGAGGACGGCCGCGTTTTTTTACAACACGATCAGGCTGAACAGGCTCCTGACGAATAGGCTCAAGTCGCATACATAGTTGATCTAATTTCAGCTCATGCTCCAACTTCCATCTTCTAAGTGTTTCGTTCTCTATGACAAGGTCAAATGTTAAGCAGCGCTATTTATTCTAGTTTGGGTAATAAGACTCTCAATACTCATGGCATGGGAACATCCTCCAGTAGGTTACCATTCTTTGTTGCAGCAACTCCTTCATCTGATTGTCCGAGCTATCTGTTTTAATATTAGATTCAAGTTCGGCAATCGTCTCCATAAAGGACGGGCGTGGACCTGGTGGTGGTGAAGCAGTACGTTCCGGGGAAAAGTCCTGCGCCCCTACTCTTTCTGTTATTGTTGAGTATGTATCTAGATGATTCCGGTTTTGTTCTTCAGTAACCAGCGTAGTGACATCACTCAGTTGCGATAAAGAAGATGGACACTGTTGATACTGGTCTTGTAGATGTAGGTGCACAGCAGCTGCAGATGAGTTTCTTTTGACAAGTCCTCGACTTGACTTGATCTGTGCCAAGCAATCTAAAGTGCCATATTATGAGATATAGCCGGTTCATTATTGTCAGCGCAGCTACATTGTATCACCATTGAAGTAAGAAAAGCGTTTTATTCAGTTGCCTCACCTAGGCAATTCTTACCTAAGCCAGAGTTACCACTGGTGCGTGCTTGTTTGAGAATTATAGCTGCCAACAAACAAGGTAGGACATGGTTTTGCGACGAAAAACAAGGCTGCTTGTTGAAGTAGTCATAGTGTTGCTGTTGCTGCTGTTGCGGCGGCGATGGCCGCTGAAATTGCATTGTTAGAGACAAGTATCAAGTACTAAGTGATGAGATTCATCATTGATAGCCAGGAGCTTAATATTTAGTCAGATGACAACACTATTCGATGTTGTCCGCTAATACAACCGAAGGAGAGGGTGTTCATCTAAATTGTGAAGTGTGGGCAGAAAATGTCCTTGTCGAGTCATCAAATAAGAAGCTCTTGTGTAACAAGACTTTGACAGATATCGCCTGCACACAAATCCTCAACGCGGATGTTCAGAGTGAGGTGAATTTACCAAGTAGGCCCATAAAGGCTGCTGGACCAGACATCATTTGTTTCTGTTAGTGAGGTTCTAGTATATACAGGTAGCAGCAGTTGGGTTTGTATTAATTATGCATGTTGCATGTTTATAGTTTCCCGAATAATATCGCCAAAACGGCGACAATCTGAATTCAGATTCTTTAAATCGAAGAGTCACCTCTAAATGAAGCCACCAAACAGCTGAAAAGAAAAAATGGAAATCAATGACTCCTTCCTTTGAGCTTGAGTGGATCGTATCGATAAAAATAATATCTAGATCGACATTTCGCATATAAAAGCATGATGAGGTCTTTCTTTCTGTCGCTTTCCTTAAAACCCCCCCCCCCAATATTTTCCCGTATCTTTGGTTCTCACTATTCCTCTCTACTCATTTTTCTCTCATTCTTCTCTAATTCTTCTCTAATTCTCTTCATTCATCACTTTTACATTCACATTTAAAACTTACTATGTGTGGTATTTTCGGAGTCTATAACCTGCCGGGCGATGCTAATGCATTCCGCAACGTGCACTTTATCTCTCAAAAAAGTAAGGGCTTGATATCACCAATTTTTTTTGCCTGATCAATTGGTGGCGCAAGAATGTGGGATCAATATTCCATATTAGCTTAGTGCAGAATTTTTCATGGTTGATGAAATTCTCTTTCTCTAACGGCCTTACCATGACTTCTTACTGATTAGGCTTAGACACCGTGGTCCTGATTGGAACGGATGTACTGTTGCAGGCAAGCATATCCTGTGCCATGAGCGTTTGGCTATTGTTGGCGTTGGTGAGTCGCATCAAAAGCTTGTCGTTTGAGCTGTCAGAAATATACCTTAAAAGTCTCTCGCCTGTTCTGGGTTGTTTTTTTTTTTTTTTTTTTTTTTAATATTCACTGATAATTCTGTGACAATTCGCCTACGCACTGATTAGAATCTGGTGCCCAACCCTTGACAAATGATGACGAGTCGCTAATTCTCTCTGTTAACGGAGAGATCTACAACCATAAGGCTCTCCGCAAACTATGCCCCCCGACACCCACTTCAAGACACAGTCAGATTGTGAAGTCATTCTCCACCTTGTACGCATTATCATGTTATTACTTTATTTCGTGTTTGTTTCGAATAGCAGTTAGCAGTATCATCCTCTAAAAAGTTTTAAATGATGGTTCTATGACTTGATAGTACAAGCAAATGGATACTGATGTCGTAAAACACCTTGACGGAATGTTCTCCTGGATTCTTCTCGACACAAAGAAGAACAGGATTTTGGCTGCTCGTGATCCTATTGGAATTACCACTTTATATCAGGGATGGAGCAGCAAACAGCCTGGCACCATCTATTTTGCTTCTGAGCTCAAGGCATTGAATGAGGAGTGCGACCGCATTATCGCTTTCCCGCCTGGCCATATTTTTGATTCTGAAACTGGCAAGACCACTCGATACTTTGAGCCTACATGGTGGGATGGCGAAAATATCCCATCTGCTCCTGTCGATTATAAGCTCCTCCGTGAGACTTTAGAGAAAGCTGTTCGCAAGAGACTAATGTCCGAGGTCCCTTATGGTGTGTTGCTCAGTGGAGGACTTGATTCAAGCTTGATTGCTTCTATCGCTGCAAGGGAAACTCAGAAGATTATCCATGGACAGGTCCCATTGAACCGTGACGGTGATGATGTTGATGAAAGTATGCACCTTGCTTGCCAATTTGAAAGTTGTTAAGAGGCAGTTTTTTTAGACTTGTTCTTATCGATATTTATACCCTTTCGTAGGTGCCGTTGCTTCGTGGCCAAGACTTCACTCATTCTCGATTGGTTTAGAGGGCTCTCCCGATTTAGCTGCTGCCCGTATCGCCGCTGACTTTTTGAAAACTGTTCACCACGAGTACACTTTTACTGTTCAGGATGGTCTGGATGCCATTGCCGATGTTGTCTACCACTTGGAGACATACGACGTTACCACCATCCGTGCTTCGACTCCTATGTATATGTTGAGCAGAAAGATCAAAGCTATGGGTGTCAAAATGGTCCTTTCAGGAGAGGGCGCTGATGAGATTTTTGGAGGATACCTTTATTTCCATGCTGCCCCATCCGCTGCTGATCTTCACAAAGAGACCGTAAGCCGTGTGAAGAACCTGCATTATGCAGATTGCTTGCGTGCCAACAAGTCAACAATGGCATGGGGTGTTGAAGCTCGTGTTCCTTTCTTGGACAAGGCGTTTCTCGAGGTTGCCATGAACATCGATCCTCAAGAAAAAGTATCTGTCAAGGGTAGGATGGAGAAGTATATCCTTCGTAAGGCTTTTGACACCAAAGATGATCCCACTGCTCAACCTTACCTTCCTGACTCGATTCTTTGGCGTCAGAAGGAGCAATTCTCTGACGGAGTTGGCTATAGTTGGATCGACACACTAAAGGAGCTCTCTTTGACTAAGGTATCAGACGAGGCGTTTGCTAAAGCATCAGAGCGTTGGCCGAAGGATACACCTCAGACTAAAGAGGCTTACTGGTATCGCGATATCTTTGAGCAGTGGTTCCCTCAAGAGGCCTGCACAGAATCTGTAGTTCGCTGGATTCCCCGTGAAGACTGGGGATGCCCTGCCGATCCTTCTGGGCGCGCTCAGAGAGTTCATGATGCCGCATATGACAAGAGCGCATAAAGCTCCATTGATCTTAATAACCTTTCTTGCATACTACACCAAACATAAAAAAAGGCCACATTAAAACATAATAATTATTTCTAACCGTTGTTCCAACTTATCTATCTCTACAATTTTTTCTTTCTTTCCTTTTTCTTATGATCATCTCTTGGGAGCAATTGATGAAAGATGGAAGGATGAAAAGACAGAAATATAAAGAAGGAGTTGTCTCTATATCTCCCATTCTTTTTTTTTATTAAATAAAATAAGCGACCCAATGACGAAGAGTGGGTCTACGATGGTGTGCTTTTCCCGCCTAAGGTCTTGTCATTATACACTAATATGCAGCTCTTTTTTTCTTTTTACAATCTGTAAAGATCGATTAAAGAAATAGGATTTTTTTATGCACTCATGGCTTCTAAAATTCCCGAATGGTATCATTTTGCCCTTGTCTGTCCTTGTTGCATTGCAAAAAGAGGAAAAAACAATCAGGACAGGGGCGCATACACCACCGTATACACCACCGCATGCATAATGTAACGTTTCAGCAGTTGAATATCAAGAAGGGCGACAAGTACATTTTTTCCCCCTAAATGGTAGCCATAAATACAATTTCGGAGAGCTGGTGAAAGTCTCGATCTTTGATCTGTTGCTTGCTTGTTGTCATGCTGTTCATTTGTTTTGATCGTGAGAAGTAAAACTCGATTGTTGGAAGTGCATTATGTATACGTATATCCATTATGTTTGATCAGAAATCCGTGAGCACATGCTTCAAAATGTAACCCGACTTGCCATGGAACTTGAATTGGCCCCCTTGAAAATCATGTTTGCTGAACATTTTTTGTGCGACAAAAAAAGGTCCGCCGCATTACAAATACATTTTTTCTAAAAAAAAAAAAAAAAAAAAAAAAAAACCGATCTGTTTTCATTCTTCATTCTCTCGCTCATTCTTCTTCTAAAACTCATTCGATTCCAATCCTCGACCTTCGCTCTTCAGTCTTTTATTCTAATTATTATCACATACATTCATATTCAACCATGACAGTCATTCATGCCTCGCAGGACTTGTATTCTGCTTCTAACGGTCAGAGCCATACGCTCGATCACATTCCTGTCAACAAGCATTTCAAGAGAACCCAACCGGTCGCATTTGCACAAGAAAAGTTCCAACATCTGACTCTTTATACCGGTAACACAATCCGAACAGGCACCACAGGGCAATTGAATGTCTCTCTTAAAAAGTCGAATCAAGAGGTTAGTAAGAGCTTATTGCTCATATTCAAAAATGCATGGGTGATTTAACCAAAGAGTGATCGGAGGAATGAAGAATCACAAATTAAGTTGAATCTCTGGGCTAAATCCCGTCTTATCAAATTTGTTATTATCCTCAATTGTTATTCCATCAGTTATACACACACACAAGTGTGGAGAAAGTGGAAAGCAAATCAATGTGTATTTTTTTTTTTGTTCAACCATCACTGGTTCAAAATACAATAGCCTTATGTAACGAATACAACAAATGTCAGAGACAATACACTTGGACAGTGTGAAAGATATGATGGTGGAGTGTGATGCTATACGGCGAATATTGATGTATGTAATTACTTTACATGTTCGACATTGACCTGTATTTTAACTTTGAATGATTGCTCATAGCTTGTCTCCGCAGTCGAGGAATCGCTGTTCTCTTCCCTCGTTTCTGCTCGGATCAACGGAACCACATTACAATTGCAGACGCCGCCTCTCTTGGCGCATTGGACGGTGATAGATCCAAGTACGACATCACAGGTAATGATAGTGCAAATATTTTGTTGTGTATTGTTGGATGACTTGAAATGGTGATACATCGGGTTTTTTTTTTTTTTTGCGTGATTCCAAAACAGCGAGCTGACAAATTAAAAAAAAAAAAAAAAAAAAAAAAAAAAGTCAACTATTCTTTCTATCTCCAGCGCCCACACATTGTCAGTAGATGACTTGAACCTGCTTTTGAGAATCTTCAAACTGCACTGGGTGCATCAAGTCATGTGATCGATCACTTCATCCTTGCAATCCCCAATCAGACTTTTGATGAAAATGGACTCGATGAGGCAGACCTTGAGGCATTCACAAACGATGTGGAGCAACTTTATTTGCCTATCTGGAAGCGATTATCAGAACTCCGCACAGGCGGTCAAATTGGACGGTTGGGTGTGGCAGAGTTTTCTAAAAGCAACTTGAAGCTTTCAAGACGGTGGCACTGAATAATGGAGCTGCGGCACCAGAGATTGATCAAGTCAATCTGGATGACTGTTGTGTCCTTCCTAAGGACTTGATTGAATATGCAAAGGCGGAAGGCTCGAATCTTGACCCACGGTGATGCTACAGTATGTGTAAAAAAAAAAAATAATGATAAGCAAGTTTGGTATGTGTTTTGTAAGCTCAAAGTGAATGATGAGTTGAGTAATTCTCATCTTTATTCATGTATATTCATAGATATCTTGCCCAAGTCTACACTGTCTTCTTTGTTACGGCCTCACTTGCCTGTCACCTCAGATTCGACCTTAACCCCCAACTTTGTCCTCAAGTACTCTGCGCTTCTTTCTGGACGCGGATTGCTCGTTAGGAAAGGGTATGTGTCTTTCGTTCAATCTTTTTTTTTTTTTTTTTTTTTTTTTTTTCATAAATAGCGTGTTGAACCTAAGGCTTATTGTCTAATATGGAATCGTTTCTTGGCGTTTGTAGATATATTGTCAATGCTATTGCCGTGTAGTAAAAATAGATAAGATAAAAATTGCCATTCATTAAACTAAGATCATCATTACTTCAAGATTTATGCTTGATGGTGCCACAAACATGCGTACTTGTGTTTCCAAATCATTTGGTGAATAGGGTCAGTGCTGAAAGACTTTTTTTTATTTTTTTTTAGACTCTGGCATACTAATTCTCTTTTTCTTTCACTTTCATTCCTCATTCATATTGAATCCTTTTCTTTTTTTTTTTTTTTTTTTTTAATCTATTACAACCTGGCTACTAGCTTGTTTATAATACACTTAAATGTACGGGTCTCATTACTTGGTCCAACTGAGATTTATCAAGAAGAGTATGTTATACATTAAATATTTTTTTAGCTAGTGAATCCTTCCAATGCTTCCTATCCTCCTTATGCTTTCATTCAGAATATCAAGGCATGTTTTCCTTATCCAAGGTTTCCAACAGCGCGAAAAGTTTATTTTGCTCTCATTGATCAAGATTTGCCACAAAACCTCGCTTTAAACATGGTGCATTTGATTTTGATGCAAGATAAATTCTTGGTGATCAGAGAAAAAGATTTCCGAAAAAGAAAGATGACTTCATAGTTGCATGGGCACTTGACTTCTCCAAATATCTAATTATGGTTCTGATTCGTCCCCATATCGGCTTCCTTTCCCCCATACAACAGTCGGAAGTTTTTTATGAGCTTACGAGCTATGTACGACTGCAGCCTGTTTATTGCTTCCCTTACTTCTCTTCGTTCTTCTATATCATCACAACTGACAGCACCTGTATCCTTAATCCTTACATATCTATACATTAGATGACAGACGCTAAAAAGACTCAGCAGAGGAAATGCGGAAGCTAGGATCACTTTCTTCAGCTTTACCGGCTTATGCCAACCGCTTGAGCTCGCCTACTCACTCTGATACCACAGCGGTTCCTGATGCAAAAGAAAGCAGAGGCCTTGTCTGAATTGGACTCAGCAGGCCTTCACCACTATACGCCAGAATTTAACTCTCCAGAAGTTGTCAACATTGGACGCTATTTGAGTCAACACCCTCAGATCAATGTCAACAACTAAAACCAGAATCAGACCAGAATAGGCTTCATGACGCTGAGCAACTATCGCCATCATCGGACCTCGAGCCTCCATCGCCTATTCCTAACATTGCTACAACATTGTACCCTAATATTCTTCACCTCTCACATTGGTTCGCCTGCTTCGACACTATCTCCGCCACCTCCAAATGAATGTATCGCTACAAACGGCTCCGAACATCAAGATGTTAGCGCTATCCCTGCTTCGCCTGCTCCGGTCGATGCATTCAGAAAATTGAAGACCCTGTTCTGTGCCTTCTGGGCAGATGACTGAACAATATTGTCCCAAGTCGCAAGAGTTGACAACATCACATTCCGTTCAGGATTTGACTCCATCTTCTGCCACACATGCCTATCCATCAAAAACGTACACTGCCCATTTCACCCCTTGCCCTCAACTCTTCCGTCCCTGGCAATGAGAATATAGAGGCAAAGATGTTAACCTCAATCAAACAGATGAGCCTTCGAGCTTGCTTCCAGTCGGTCAAGGTTCGGATACATCAATCTAATGTCATTAGGAAAGACTACAAACAAGAAGCCGAGCTCCCTACCGCAAACTAGTGAGAATGAGGACTTGGAAGGTATGGGAAGTTTAGGGCTCAGACTATGGGCACTAGAAAAGGTCAAAGGCTGTAATTTCAGATTGACTCCTAAATGATTCGAGGAGGTTCTTGAGGATGCTGCAAATAGGCTGGCTACCGCAAGGCGTGAATCAGAGGTAGTGGCAGGGGGTGGGGGATCGGAGCAGAATGGCGACACTAACGCTGCTGCAACGGAACATTGCCAAGATGCTAATACTGGCGCAATGGAGCCTCAACAGGTCCTATATTAACAATTTAAATACATCAAGACGTTTACATGGACCCTGTTTTCAAGAACTGATTCCAATGCAACCGAATTTCTTGTCTCATATCTGTTTTGCTGCAAACCGCGGATCCTTCCGAAGATGAAGATTTAGCCACAGCCACGAGATAGACTGGCCTCATCGCAGGCAGCCTAATTTAATTCCAACTTCACTCTTCAGCAACCAACTAATGATCTCTTCATCCAGTTGCCCAGAAGACTCTAATATCCAGGAGATTACTGACGACCTAGGACGGCAGCAGCTACAGATTCTCTTGTTGGTATTAATTCATCAACCCCAGGGGTATCTGAGGCTAGGCGACTTTCAGTAGCAGCGCCGTCAACGCCAGGTCCATCCGCAGCACAATCGTCTGTAGCTGAAGAGCATGTCATGGCTAATGAATCTACTTCAAGGACTGATATGTTGCCAAGACAACCTCAACCCAGCAGCATCAAAAAGAAAGACAAAGAAGCTGATCCTTCCAAAACGATCCATAGAAAGTCGGCCAGAGAGACCTCTCATGGTATATTTCATGATCTCAAGCGGTTTTTCAATGTTGGTCACTCACCGCAGGTCTCCCCAGTCGTTGCTCAGGCAAGCCCACAGGAGCAACCGCTCGAACGTACCACAAACGCCAAAAACGCGCAAGTCAGGACTTTTTGGGAGCATCGGCGCCATGCGCTACGGTACAAATGGCGCAGGGAGCGTACACGGATCAGAAACTTCACGCTCTACTAGTGGGACCACATGGTAATGCTATCGAATCGGACCTCCGGAAAAAGTATGGAAAGCTTGGTAAAGTCCTTGGCGTGGCGCTGGGCGGAACGGTACGTATCCTCTCGAGATCATCTGATCACAAGACCTTTGCCATCAAGCAGTTCAGGAAGCGTCGACCAAGCGAGTCTGAGCGGTCCTATGTGAAGAAGGTTACATCTGAATATTGTTTAGGATCCACATTTCATCACCCAAACATCATTGAAACACTGGATATCGTAAAGGAAGGAGGCAACTATTATGAGGTTATGGAGTATGCAAGGTATGAGCTGTTCTCGGCTGTGATGTCAGGTCTGATGACTCGAGAAGAGGTTGCTTGCTGTTTCAAGGGCATTGTCGATGGGGTCGCCTATCTTCATAGTATGGGCGTTGCTCATCGGGATTTGAAGCTCGATAACTGCGTAATGAATGAGCGTGGGATTGTCAAGATTATTGACTTTGGCTGCTCCATGGTCTTTCAGCCTCCGTTTGAGAAGAAGATTGAAATGGCAAAAGGTAAAAAAATTCCTATCTCAGTGTATGAGTGACTTTGCTTGCGACGCGCATTTTCTTTCATCTTTCAAAGCTACTGACTTTCTTTTATTTGCTTTTCTTTCTTTTCTTATTTTTTTTTTATTTTTTTATTTTTTATTTTTTTATTTTTTCGTGTGTAAAATGATCTTATTAGGAATTTCTGGATCGGACCCATACATTGCTCCTGAAGTATTTGTGACAGATCAACACGACCCTCGCTTAGCCGATGTCTGGTCAATGGGCATTATTTTTTATGTATGACATTGCGTCGTTTCCCATGGAGGGTTCCGAGAGCAGAGCAGGACCAGTCGTTCCTGGCATTTGCAAATCCTGATGGAACTGGGAAGCTACGCCTTTTAAAGCTGATGCCTCGTGAGAGTCGTCCGATCATGTCCCGAATCCTGGAGATAGATCCTAGCAGGCGTGTGCTAATAGGGGATGTCGTGCAGGATCCTTGGATAACGAATATTGACCATTGTATACTATGAATATATGTCACCAAACCATCCACACCATCTCGGTGATGATGGAACTATCGTCTTAAACCCGAATGAAGGAACCGCGGCTTTACCACCGTCAATCCATGGAAGTGAAAGTGGAGTGTCTTAAGAAACAGCAGCCCCTCATTAAATCTAAGCATATATAGCACCCATTTATAAATAATTTACGTGGTGGAATGTTAGAAAGAGTTGCGATCACAAGGCAAAGCATTGATATAATTGATTTTTTTTATTTATTGACAGGCTCTTGATACGCGTCGAAATTCGACGCTATCCTTCCCGCGATAGTTTGACAGCACGGGCATATTCTGATAAGAAATCAGCTTTTCGTATTGTATCCCATGTCCATGACGCGTATCGGAGCCTTAAAATAATAAAATAAAAGGATTAAAATGCTGAACACATGATTTTTTTTTTTTTTTTTTTTTAAAAAAAAATAAAGCCTTGTAACGTTACCATTCACGCTCAGAAACAATGCCAGGCCGGTTCCTCGGTCCGAGCGCAGGTCCGCCATGGGGACGCATGGAGAGCGATAAAATCTTGTTCCTCAGACCTTTGCTCCAGACTTTCCATCTTTCCTGATCGTGAATAATGATTCCAAAGACATCCTGAGAGGGGTCCATGAAAGAAGCACTCAAAATATCGGGGCGATTGAAGGAAATAGACAGATTTGACATTATCGATGCCATCAAGGATGATGCTGGCGAACTATTGCTATTGTCATGACTATTTTTCGAAGAGTGTGATGCTGATATTGATGTTGGTGCTGTATTTGATTTTACTGAGCCGCCTTTATTGCTTAAGGTTGTTGAAGAGATTGTAGAAGGCGCCCCAGATATGAGAGTCGAGTCGAAAGGCAGCATGACAAAGTTCAGGTATGAAGGGGCTTTTCTTTCTTGGTAAGTCGAAGTCTCCATTGGACCTTGGCGCTCTTTTCTAGACAGCGATACTACTAGTACTTTGGATTGCTCCTTACTATCCTTATCCAGTATTGATGCAGCCTCTGCATCAGAGGCGGAAGATTCTATCCCTATCCCTGTTCCCCCTGCTCCTGTTGATACAGAGGATGGAGTTGAAAGTATATTTTTCTTCTGTGAAGCAGCAGCTGTAGTGGATGCAGTGGTAGATGCATTGTTAATAGCGATAGAAGTGTTGCTCGTTTTGAAGGTGTGCTCAAATCGAGGGTAAATGGATGCCATGTTGATGGATCCAAAGAGATGTAGTGCAGAATGTTGGAAGAAAAGCGTTTGTTCCATTGCATATTTGCGATAGTATTCGACTCCAAACTGCATTACTGGTACTTTGTTTGAGATCAAGACTACGAATTGAAAATAAATAGCAAAGTTAAGGATTGGATCCTAGGGTTAGGCAAAGTATGTTGCTGCAAGAATTAATTAAAAAGCAAAAATATATCTCTATAAACATTTACCAATATCAGCGCACCAATCACCTAGTCCTTCACGTTGTGACTTCTTTGCCCTATATTAGGCTGTTGCTGTTGTTGTTGGCCCAACTAGACCAGTGTTTATCCCTTGTCCTGGATGTTCTGGTTAGAATTGGATGAGGCCGCTGAGAGAGCTTCTCATAAAACACTTCAACCCTTTGTAGTAATTTCAAGATCCTGCTGCTACTGTTGCCTCCATTACCACCACCCGCTGACCGCTCGTCCGCGACAACTAAAACAACATTGCACACGAGATCAAAAACGTTGCTAAAATGAGAGCTTGATTCTCCAGCCAGGTATCCAGAGAGATCCCCTCTGTGATTCGTTCGTTTCTCAAAGCGTTTTCCAAATTTGATAAACAGAAGATTGGTTCCGTATCCAAGAGGATCATCCGCTCAGGTGTGATGTACATATCGATACCTGATGTTTGAATCCTGCGACGCTAGCCATCGACAATGATTGTTTTATAAATGCTGAGGAGGCAAAGGGTGCCGGACAGAATGAGGAGAGGAGTGATGACTTCCCAGCACCTTGTGTCCCCAAAATTCCAACGATGAAATGTCCAGGATGGTCTGACAACCACTATTGATACCATATTAAATGCACAAACAAAAATCAGTTTTTAAGCATTCAAGGGCTATATTTCGATATGGAAAGCATTCCCTGAGCCTATCCAAGTATATACCTGTTCAGCAGACTCCAAGAATTTACCGTTCTCATTCATTAACTTGACGGAATGGGGCCCCATAGCAGGAGGAATTGCGGCAATAGGCAGATTTTGCATTGGTCGAGCGCCTCCAGTGGACATGGTACCAACTCCAGCTCACCAGGCGCAGAATGAATTCCGCCTATAGATCGTGGATCTCTAAAACCGGGCTGAGAATATGGTCCTGTCGGTCCACGTAGCGATTGGTGTTGCTGCTGCTGTGGTTGCTGTTGCTGTTGCTGTGGTTGCTGTTGCTGCTGCTGTTGTGGTTGTTGTTGTGATTGCTGCTGTTGGTTTGAGCTTTGTACTAGCGCTAGTGCCCTGCCAAGAATAAACCGTTCTACTGCAGGGGCTTGTCTCCGATTAATTAACTTCCCAGGATCTAATCCCGCGAATCATCATCGTATAGTTCGCCTACACTACGAGTGCTTGCTCCTCCTGCCATCGCCACTTTCCGATCATTACCGCCGCTACTATTGGGATTAGGCTGTAGAATTTGGCGCTGAAAGCTATTAGGATCGACTATCACTCGGTGAGTTGTTTGTTGCTGTTGTTTCATGGATCCGTCATTACTGTTATTGTTAGTGTTGCTCATTTCATCTTTATTTAAATCATTTTGTTGCTGTTGTTGTGATTGGCGTGATGTTCGATCCCGCCTACTTCGTTCTCGGCGCTCTCTTCTTGGCTTATGCTCCTTTACAATGTCTGATTCGATTGTTGTGACTGTCCATGCCAGTATCCGCAAGATGTTGCTGATTGATGTTTTGTTGAGGTGTATGGTGTACGTGTTGTGAAGATGATGAAGGGAGATCAGCATTATTTTGCTGGCCGCCTATGATGGATCCTGATCGTTCCCTTCTTCCTTGGGTTCCATTGCTTGATACGGAGACTCCTCCACTACGACATGTTGATATTAATGGTGGTGTATTGATAGTGCTCATGTTGTTCATACCCATATTAATCCCACCAATACCTGGTGGTGGAGTCATATATGATTGATTCAGAGATGGTTGCTGGTGCATTCTAGTTGCTCCCTTCCTCTTGTGGGAGGTTGCTGTGATTGTTGTTGCTGTTGCTGCTGCTGCGGAGTTGGATAGGTATTGAATTGATAGGGTTGACCATGGCCATAAGGGTATTGTTGTAAGCTGGGACTTTGGGACTGCCAATGGTTATCATCCCTCCTGTACGAGGTCCATTCGTAGTGTCGACATCCTGGGGTGTCACACGAGTGAGTAACTTGAACGGCGGCGCAGCAACGTTCTGACCTTGGTTTTGGTTCTGATTTTGACTCTCCCTGATCGTTGATGTCCTCTCTGTCCACCACGTAGTGACGAGCTTTGATGCATTTCGGACAAGTTCCTCCAGATGAGACGGTAAAAGAAGAGAAGCGATCGAGTGATTTGGAATCGAATGCACTGTCCTTCATTCTTGTACAAATGAAATGTTTCCCTTTTTTCACTAAACGACGTCATGCCATTCTCTGCACCAACGATAATGTGGCTTTGCAAATAGAATTTGTCGATTACCATGGCCTTTCTACCTATCTGATAAGCAAGTCTTTTACTTCTTTATTAAGTAGTTATATGCTATCTAGCTATCTAACTTACCTGATTGCACCCTAAGCTACAGGCGGCCAGACTCTTGGCCAGCTTGAGAGGTATTTCTTCTTTATTTTCATCAAAAACATCCTCCCAAGCCATTGTCTAGAACACACCGGCCTGGCCCACATCATGCTCCGTCAGGTCAGGCCCCATGGCCTCGCAAACGCCCGCACACACCCACACACACCCACACACACCTATTTGCCCACCCTCTTATCCCCCACCCGTCTACCCAATCGAAGGACTCCACCACCGCATGGTCCGTTGAAGAATCAGCTCAGGTGTCCCGTTTGGACCTTGGATATGTGTTGCTTAGAGTTTGTTCGCGTTGTATATACCACTGCTATAATAAAGATTGTTTTGTGTTAGTTCAGTTTGTGTTGTTTTTTTATGATTTTTTTTCTTATGACGTGTTTGTCTAGGCTCACTGTGGATCTTTGGTTTCATTCTCCAGGTGCGAGACGTCAGTCTTCAAGTATCGGCGCAGTCCAGAGCGCACCATGAAGAGAGGGCCTGCTCACCATGTCTTTGGGTTGCTCAAGGAGGCGGTCTAGCTGCTGGGGCGATCTGGTCTAGCTGTTTGGATGAGGAGCCAGCCGGCTGAGTGACGGAGTGACAGCCTAGTTGGCTGATCAAGCCTGCCTGGCTGGTTGGACGAGATGTCCTGGCCGTTTCAGCAAGGAGAACATAGCTGGGTGAGTCGATACCGTTTGTTTATAGGAGCATCAGTTGCCCATGGAGTTGGCCAGAGCCACTGCACTCCGGCTGGTTTGGGGGTAGGGGATTCGTATCGTTTATGGCCTAAGAGTGACAAGGAAAGATAGAGGCAGAAAGGAAAATATAAAGCCAGAATAAGGGCTATACAGCATATAGTGAAAGGGCTGAGCGCCTCAGTAGGAGTGGATGTTTGGAGAGTGTTGCTTACCTGTCATCTTGGTCATAGAGAAAAAAGAAGAGAACAGAAAAAAGTTGAGATTGGCCCTTTATACATTCGTCTTTAAAAGCACTTACGAAGGGAGGATAAAGCGATGAGTGGTTCTTGAAAGCGATCAAGAGCACGAGAATGAGTAAAGCCATTATGTGATAGAAAAGAGTCGACTGAGCAATGAGTATACCATGTGCCTTGCTTTTGTAAAGAGAAACCGATATATGGATGGTGGCAAAAGAAATCCAAGCTTAAATGCCGCCGCCTTGCCAAGCATAAGAGGAAAAGGCGTGAGTGAACTGATAGTATATGACAATGGTATCATCCATAGCCTAAATCAACCATTATTATCGCTACTAATTTTCTATTTCTATTTGAGGACATTTGCATTCATAATAATCACAGATCCACCAAAATTTC